CTCAGTGCCCTCCCTTCCCTGCTCCCATAGCCCCAGACCTCTTTAGACACATGGGAATTAGTCTTTGCTGAAGGCCTAAAGATTTTTTTCCCAAGGAGTCTGAAAGGGAGCCTTCCAGTCTTGCCCTACAGGCCTGTCTAATGGTGGTCTCTTAGGCAACTACCAGTGGTCAAGGAGAGCTGCTCTAGTATCTCTGCAGCCTAGGGGTTAGGATCAATGGTGTTTTGGAAATGTTTAACAACTGGCTTCTCAGGGAAGTGGGATTTGTAGCATTTGCCAATTTCTGTCATGTAAATATTAAATAGTCCTATGATGGCCAATTTCAAGCTGCTAATGTGACACCAAACCTAGAGTTGGGAAGTGATGCACACAATCTGCTCTTGAGAGCCAGTGCCAGCCTGTTCCAGCACACTAATGGACTGGGGGTCACCTACAAGCCTTTTTTATTCTTTCTTTTTTTTTTTTCACAGTTGAAGTTTCTATGGGTCCCTTGAGAGCAGAACTAAGACTACTAGATAGAAGCTTTTAAGAACTTTGTCTTCCACTAATCACACTGCCAAGAAGGCCAGGGATGTGTAGCTAGTAGGATCAGGACTTGGGAGTTGACTGAAGACTAGCCTCTGATTCTGGTCACATGATGACTTGTCTTTTGCCCTATGAATGTGGGTGGCTGCCAGATTTCAGCCAAGGGGTGGACAGCAGGGTGTATGACAAATAGAACACGAGTCCTGGGCTATATTTTTGGCAGGAGAAGCTATGTAGGACCTCTGAAGCACACACAACATCCATCCGCTCATCCTTCCTCTGACTTCTCACTCCCTGCCAATCCAGGCTGAGCTCCAGCCCCCTGGCACCGCCCTTCCCTCCTCCTCCCCCTCCAGCTTTGAGTCATGCCTTCTGCCACCTCCCTGTCCAGGTTTGTCAGCTTCCACAAAGATCAGTACATTGATAGCTTCTTCTCCCCTCCAAGCCTCCTGCATGCCCCACCCCCACCAGCCCAAGTCATTGCGCACATACAGAGGGGGTGATCTTCCTGGACCTCACCTCTGATCACCCTTGTTCCTCTACTTAAGACCCTCTCCATGGCTACCTGCAGCCTAGAAGACAAAGCCTAGTCTCCTTAGGCTTCATACTAACCCTCTATGGAAGCTCCATACTAACGCTGCTCTTGACACTCCAGTTTCCTGACATGTTCCTCTCCTTTGTGTTTTCTGCTTGATAATGTCTCGGATAATCTGCTTCTCCTCTAAACTATGCCCCTCTTTCACCATATCCAGATCATTGCTTGCTCCCATCTTATGGTAGCTTTGCCCAGGCTAATACCATTTAGAACTTCTCTATGACCCGCCTCAGTATTTCCCAAGCAAGCCCCACTGCTCAAAATGTACCAAGACAATCCCACTTGTCCTTTCCCAGGTTAATTTCATTCAGTTTGTCCCAAGGTAACCCCCAAATATGTTTCAGCCCAACTTAACAAAGGCTTTCCCATGTTCTCAGGTTTTCCCTAGTATATCACATAGGAATACTTTGGTTTCAAGCAGCAGAAAACCCAACTTGGATTGAATTTAAACAAAGGGGACTTGTTGGCTCATGTAATTAAAAGAGTCAAAGCATTGGCCTAGACAAAGAATTTATGACTAAGTCCTTGAAAGTAAATGTAACAAAAACAAAAATTGACTATTGGGACCTAATTAAACTTAAGCAACAGCAAAAGAAACTATCAACAGAGTAAGCAGACAACCTACAGAATGGGAGAAAATATTTTCAAGGTATGCATCCAAGAAAGGACTAATATACAGAATTTATAAGGAACTTATACAAATCAACAGGAAATGAACAACCCCATCAAAAAGTGGGCAAGGGACATGAACAGACACTTTTCAAAAGAAGACATACAAGCAACTGAGAAGCATATGAAAAAATACTTATCACTAATAATCAGAGAAATGCAAATCAAATCACAATGAGATGCTATCTATCTCATACCAGTCAAAATGGCTATTAGTAAAATCTCTCAAATGAACAGGTGTTGGCAAGGTTGCAGAGAAAAGGGAACACTTAGATACTGTTGTTGGAAATGTAAATTAGTTCAGCCGCTGTGGAAAGCATTTGGAAGTTTCTCAAAATACTGAAAATAGTATTACCATTTGACCCAGCAATCCTAAAGGAAAGCAAATTGTTCTACCAAAAAGATACCTGTACTTGCAAGTTTATTGCAGCACTATCTGCAGTAGTAATGTGGAATCCACCTAGGTGCCCATCAGCAGTGGAGCAGATAAGAAAAATGTGGTACATATATACCATGGAATACTACACAGCTATAACAAAGAATGAAATCATATCCTCTCTAGCAACATGGATGCAGCTGAAGGTCAATTTCCTAAGTGAATTAATGCAGAAACAGAAAACTGCATGTTCTCACGTGTAAGTGGGAGCTAAACACTGGGGACAAATAAACATAAAGATGGAAACAACAGACACTGGGGACTCCAAAGGTGGAGAGGAAACGAGAGGCAAGGGTTGAAAACTACCTATTGGGGACTATGTTCACTATTTGGGTGATGAATTGAATTCACTATTTGGGTGGTGAATTGAAGCCCAAACCTCAGCATCACGCAATATAGCATGTAACAAATCTGCACATGTACTCCCTGAGTCTAAAAAATAAAATAAAATAAAAAGTCAAAGCTAATTCTAGATTCAGGTGAAGCTTGATCCAGGAGTTCAAACAATGTGACTGATATTTAGTTCCTCTCTGTATATTTCTCAGTTCTGTTGCTATGGTGTTGAGTACATTCTTGTCTGCCTCTTCCCACATTGATGGCTTCTGAGATTACATGCTTTAGGTTCAAATTCAATATTAAAGTCTGTTTCAAGATAGCTTAAATTAAATACTGGAAATAGAATTTCATTTGCCCTGATTGGCTGATTCTGGTCATGTGCCTATTCTTGCAACAATCAATTACTGTGGGCAAGATGAATGCAGACTATGTTAAATAAATATAAGCACATACTGAAGTTGAGGGTGAGGGCAATCTGAAGCTAGTAAATTTATGGTACTGGGTGGAAGGGGGAAACAAGGAATGGATGCTGGGGAGTCATTCAACCAGTGTCCACTCTACCCACTCAACATCTTCTAGGTTAGCCCTATTCACTTCCCAGGTGAATCCTATGTGGTCCTTGCTAGGAGCCATGGCTCTTTCATCAGGTGGGAACCCATTGAGGCTCTCACTGAAACACTCCATCATATGACCAGGCTGAAACTATGCTGATAAATGAATTCACCATCAATAATGGAATTCTGTTGATAGCTCATCATGTCCCTTCATTCTCTGACTCAAGTGACTTGCCTTTTAAATGGCACATTCATTTTCCCAATCCAATAAAATGAAGCACAAATGTGAAATATCAGGAGGTGTGACAGACCAATAGAGAACACACTTTTGGAGATCTTTCATTGTACTATCGTCTTGCCTTCTCTGCCTATCAGTAGGATTGTACATGATGTTTCCCCAGCAGAGGAGGAGGCTTGGTCTCTGGTGCCAGAAGGGACAACAAAGCCATGGTGATGGCTTATCATTCTTTGAGTCAGCACCTGTGATCTGAGTTCTGAGATTTGAGTTCCAAGTCCGCCTAATTGCTGGCTTTTCGTGCCACCTCCCTGCCAGACTGCCTTTGCTGGGAGGCTGACTTCTGCAGACTGACTCCCCAGGCTCCTTGCCATGAAAAGCCCATTGGGAAAGAGTTTTATAGCTGATTATAAGACCCCTTGGAAGAGATTTTTATAGCTGATTATGGCTCCTTGCTGTTTCACTTCTGATTGGCTTAGTTGATTGAGACACTAGTAAGAGACTTGGGGGGTGGGAGATGAAAGGGTTTAGGACATTTCTGCTATGTTCTTTCCCTGTTCCAGCATCACTTCTCTGGCACTAGCTGTGTTCCCCATAAATACAACTCCCACCAAGCTACAGGAGCATGATTTCCTTCCCTTGTCCCTTTAGTCCTGGGGTATTGATGCGTTTCTTGTTGTTTCTAGTCTCTGCATGCCGAATCATATCTTGTTGGATTTCTTAAGTCTGTCTCCCTCTGCATCCAAGTCTCTTCATCTAAAATATCTGCAGCAGATTATCTTTTCTGCTGGGATTCTGACTGATATAGTTCAATAATGGAGAAGGAAATAGCATACCTCCCCAGGCAAGGTAGTGGCCTGAGCCAAACTTTTTCTTCCACAGAAGCCTGGGCGGTGGCATTGGAAGCTGCCACTGTCTTGCTGTGCAACTTTGGATATTTCCCTACCCTCTTTGGGCCTAAGTGGCTCCATCCATTCAGGAGGGATTTAATTTGATGACTTCTTCTCATCACCCGGAAAGTTCTGTGTTCCTAAGTGTCAAAATGGTACTATGGTTTTAGGGGTGGAGCTCGCCCTGGTATTTCCCTTCTGGGGCTAAAACCTTGTCTCTGAAGGTGCCTCACAAAAAGGAACTCAACGCATGGAGAGCCTAGCCTAAGTGCCAGCTCTCTCAAGGGTTCATATTGAAGGGGACACTGGAAGCTTTCTTGTGAGAAAGCATAGGCAAGCTGAGCCTCAGCTTCATTATCTGGGAAATGGGTATAAAATGTGAGTGCCTCTGACCTCCTTGCTGTCTGGGTTAAAAGAGATAGTATGTAAAAAGTGCCTGATAATTACACTAAGAATTGCCATCTGTTTGTTCTACTAAGGAACAAAGGTGGAATGCCCATTGCTGGTTTTTTTTGGAGTCCACTATTAGGTTTCTCTCTAGCTGAATTTTAGGAGAAGGCTGTTAGGCTCTCTCTTCTGTTGTTTATGGCTTTGGGGTTGCTGTCTCTGCCCTATGGCAGTCAGCCCAGGTTTGGCTGCTGCTGGCTGCAGGGAGTGGCTGAGGCTGGGAGCTGGCAGGGTGCATGGGTCCAGAGTATAAAGGAACCCAGGAGCAGCTGGAGGCAGGTCAAATGAAGTCTAGGTGGCTGCAACTCCAACCATGGTTCCCAGCTTCCTCTCCCTGAGCCTCTCCCGCTTGGGCCTGTGGGCGTCTGGGCTGATCTTGGTCTTAGGCTTTCTCAAGCTCATCTGCCTGCTGCTGCAGAGGCAGAGGTGCCGGCCAAGGCTATGGAAAAATTTGCAGGGCCTCCCACCCACTGGCTCTTTGGACATGCCCTCGAGGTATGTGGAGTTGGGGTGGGGGGAGAAAGAAAATAGCCTCCCTTCTTTCAGAGAATCAGGCCTAATTCCCAGGGGGCTGGGGAGGGTGACTTCAACTTGGACAGGGGGATGATGTCCTGGGATCCATGGCTTCCATACAGCTTTCCCACTGGAATCTCTCCATCACTCCAGCCTTTCAAGCTGATTTCAGAAGTGGGTGCCACTTCCAAGTCAGGGCTCAAGCATGCCACAGACTACTTCTCATCATTCTGAGGCCCAAAGTTTGGATCAGGTTCTGCTAAAGGCTCAGCAATGACAGAAAGGCAAAACAGAAATCCCAAAGCTCTGTAGTCCCTAGAAGTAGGCAATCCATTGAAAGCTCAATTAGCTTCTGCTTTGTTGTGTGCAGTATAAAGATTTCCATTTGTAAGGCAGGAAATGAGGGTGAGGGTGAAGAGGAGTAGCACCACATGATAGACCTCTCAGAGCGTCTAGGTAGGTGGTGTCCCCAAAGGCAGGGCTTTCCCAGCCACACCTGTGGGTGGCTCAGGAGTCGTGACACCTTCCCAGGTTCAGATCATAGTTCTCATCTTCCTGTTACTCCAGGAACTAACAGGAACTGAGTAACTCCTGTTACTCCAGGGTGGGGACTACCTTAGCCCCTGCTTTAGGAAGACCTCTTAGTTTCCTACTGTCATGGGGATCTAGACCAGAGTTTCTAATGGGACACAGGGCAGGGAATTGGAATCAACTGGGAGAAGCAAATTCCTCGGCCTCCAACCTCTGGAGATTCTAATTTGTCAGATTGGAACTAGGGGTTTACATTTGAAAACCTCTCCAAGTGTTAGTGTTTTGATCTGCAGCCAGCCTGGGGAAACCAGGTAGAGATGCCAGAGATATATATATTTTTTGAGGTGGAGTCTTGCTTTGTCTCCCAGGCTGGAGTGCAGTGGTGCAATCTTGTTTCACTGCAACCTCTGCCTCCCAGGTTCAAGTGATTCTCCTGCCTCTGCCTCTCAAATAGCTGGGACCACAGGGATGCACCACCATACCTGGCTAATTTCTGTACTTTTAATAGCGATTGGGTTTCACTATGTTGTCCAGGCTGGTCTCAAACTCATGACCTCAAATGATCCACCTGCCCTGGCCTCCCAAAGTGATGGGATTACAGAAGTGAGCCACGGTGCTTGGCTGAGATGCCAGAGATTGAGGCTCAGAGTGAGACAAGTTTCTTCTCCTACCTCCGGAACCCACTTTCCTCATTCTCAGTCTTTGGGGGGCACTGTTTCTCTTCCTTGACTGACACTAGAAATGAGCTTGACCTCTAGACTTATTCTTGCCCTAACAGATAACCCTGTAACTTGCATCCTGAAGACATCCAGGAAAGGAAAGGGTGGGTCAGAGAGATGAATCAGACCCAGCCCTGGGCTTCAAGGAGCTTACGGTCTGAGGGGAAAACAGACTCCAGAGCCTTGCTCCCGAGCTGGGCAAGCTTCCTCCCCAGGATTCTGCCTTAGCCCCATTCTTTTTATCTCAGCACTTGTCCTGTTGGGTTGTTGTCTTCTGTTTACCTGTTCATCTTCCCCACTGGAGTGTGCCCCCTGGAGGATAGAGATCTGATCTGATTCAGCCCTGTACCCTTAGGGTCCAGCATAAAGCCTAGCACAGCATAGGCATCACTGAATGAACCAGTAGTGAGTGTTGGAGAGTAGGGAGAGTATCCACAGAGGAGAAAGCATGATGGAGAAGAAAAGTGTAGGGACCAGGAGGGCTTGGGAGAGGCTTTGCTAAGAACACAGGAGGACCAAGGGAAGGATGAGGTCCGGCACTAATGGGGTACGAGAGGCATTTAGGGAGAACTTTCTCCCTTTCTTCTTCTTCCCTCTCCACTTCTACTTGCCTTCGTCAAATGTGTGTTTGCCCTCAGCCAAGGGCTTCCTTAGGACAGGGACCTAAGGAAGGACCAGGACACTGTTTCTTTGGACAGTGGCTCATTGTTATTCAGTAAACATTGATTACCCCGACCTCCATGTCAGGGGTGGCTGTTTTCTTCCCTGCAACAGCTCCCACTTCCACCTTGAGAATATGCAGAGGGCCTGGAACACAGCCTGGCTTTGGCTTCTCGGCTCTAACACAGCTATCCGAAGGGCCTTCTCATGGCACCAAGTTGAGCAGACAAAGGCTGGAGGGGTGACTACTTGTGGGAACTACAAAGGTTTTCTGGGGAACCATTGCAAGCACAACACTTCTGCAGTCCTCCACAGCGTGGCACCTCTGTTCTTGCTTGGATTCATATCTGAACTTGAGAAATGGGGAGGGTAGAGAGAGGGGATTATTTTCTCGAATGCAAAAATGAGGACATTGAAATTCAGAGGGTGGAAAATATTTGTCTGTGTCTGTTTGGTGGCTCAGGAGTTGGGTCAAGGGCCCAGGACTTCTGCGTTTTAATTCATGACATTGTCAGTCCATAAAAGGTTACTGCAAAGTTAATTATTAGGCCCAGCAATGATGGGAATAGGGAGGGGAGGAAGACTGGTGGGTAAAGGGACTGGGGGCGAGGAAGAGCTGTCCATCAGGATTTCTCCTTCTTTGTCTCTAATTACAGTCTGGAGGACTTGGTGGTGAGGAAGGAGACCCAGGCATCTGGGATCACCTCCCCCTTGACTTCCACACTGCATTTCAATAGAATAAAAGGCTGGCTGACTGGCGCCTCCTAAATCACCTTCCTATAAGATAGCAGGCGTGGTGTTTCTCCAGAAAACACTGTTTTTACTTAAACAAGATCAAACCCCCACCCCACTCCTCCATCTGGAGACCAGAAACCTTTCACATATGATTCCTAAAACTGTAAACCCAAGTCCCTTTCATATGTGATTTCTGAAGCTGTAAACCCAAGACCCTTTCACTTGTAATTTCTAAGGCTGTAAACCTAAGATCCTTTCATGTGTAATATCTAGAGTGTAAGCCTATATAAACGCAGAGCTTCTCTGTGTTAGGGGAACTTGGCCGTTTGGACAAAACATAAAGCCTTGCTCCCCTTTCCTTTTCCAGTTCAGCGTCCGAGAGGTCTGTTTCTCGTGGCCGCTCCAGTTTCATTAGCATCTACCTGTCATCCTCCTCAATTCTCAGAATGTGTCTTCTGGAGGTGGGGACATATCCTATTCTTCCAGGGTCCTCCTCATTCCAGTCTAGGGGCCAGGGAGGACTTTGCACATAGTAGGTGCTCAGCTATATTGTTGGCCTGAGGTTGGAACCCTTGAAAAGCCAACAAATCTGATGTGTGTGTGTGTAGAATGCCAGCTCTCAGACCAAGGAAATGAGATTCCCTGAGGCTGCAAAGGCCTCTTTCCCAGCCATGCCCTTTGCTGTGACAGTGCCCTTGACCTTGTACCGTGTAGTGAAGATAGGGTTGTGGCTCATTGTCATTCAGTAAACATTGATCATAGGCCTTTGCTATGCCTGGTTAGGTAAGTTGCTTTACCTCTCTGTGCTTCTGTTTCCCTGTCAACAAAATGGAGATAATCATTTTTACCTTGCTGGGTTAGAAGGGGATAGAAAGAGATTAAGTATAGCTATGTTTCGAACTACTGGACAGATAAACGTCAGGTGTTAAATCATCATTAAATCATCGTAGAGGGAGTCCTGCTACAAAACAACCTGGGAAAGTTGCTTTCTTCATCCCCTTCCTTCCTCTCAAATCAACCCTTATTTGTGAGCCAGATAAGGTCCCTTTTTCCTAAGAAACCAGCGTTGCCTGATCAACAGCTCTGGATCTGGTCCTATGCTGAGGCCAGAGGATGAAGCATCAAGACAAGGAGCTTGCTTTAGAGGAACTACGCCTGTAGGAGAGATGAACAACACAGCACAAGTGTTACCAATCCTTGGGCCTAGAGACAGAATGGAGAGAATGAGGCTGGAGGTGGATGGGGCAGTCGCACAGATCCCTGTAGCCATGTCAAAAGGCTTTACCTTATTCTGAGGATGATGGGAAACGAACGATGGAAAGGATTTAAGCAAGGGAGAGATAAGCTCAGATCTATGTTTTAGAAAGGTCACTTTGGCTTCAGGGTGGTGGACAGATTGACAGAGGGCAAATAAGAGGCAGGGATACTAGGGTGGAGGTGATGCGGGCCTCCACCTAGTGGTGGGGAGTGAGCCAATGGGCTGGAGGGAAGTGGAAGGTAGAACAGGCCAGGTCTTGGCATGGTGGGCACAGGAGAGAGAGGCATCGAGACCTCTACCATAGCCAGGTATGAGGGTCAGTGAGGGCCCCTCCATGTAGCAGGAAAAGGAAACGAGGATTGCCATGGGAGCTCTGTTAACTAGAGGCATCAATGCAGCTGGACCAGAGCAGAATCTGGCAAAAGTCACCAAAAGGGAGCCATAAGACTGGATTGTAAACAGGAGGAATGGATTTCTATGCCTCAATTTTAAACTGTGGGCATCTGAAACCCAGGAAGAGGAGGTTCAGTGCCTGGCAGCATCTGTCAGTGTTTGGGTGTGGAATCCTCGAGAACTAGAATTGGAGAATTCTGTGACATCGTCTCCTCCCATGACCTGCCACATCTGGCTCTTTTTGTTCTGGTTTGCTGATTCCAATGTAAATACTTGGTGGGCAGCGGGGAGGGGCTGCCTTCACGCGACATCCCTCTTCATACTGATATAAACCATGGAGAAAACAACATTCCATATTCCCAGCTAGTTTTGGAGTGGGTGGTGGTTCCATCCCCAAGTTCAGCAGGAGAGGCAGATTTTGGGGGCAAACGTGTATAAACAGGTGTACGAGCATGGGTTTGGAAATGCTGGGTCTGAGGGGTCTGGAGAGAATCATGCAGAGCATTCTGGGGGTTGATTATCATTCTGGACTTCAGGAGAAAGGTAAACTGGAAAGAGCTGTCAACTGAGAAATTGTTGGTAGGTAGATGGCACAGGAAACCACAGAAGCAGGTGAGAGCCTTCAGGGAGAAGGTGCCACAAGGAAGAGGCCAAGGACTAGATCTGGAGGAACAAACAGTGGGTGAGGAGCTGACTAGGGCAGCCACTGGGAGAGAGGGGAGGACATCCAGGAGACAGCGCATGAGACATGGGGAGTCCATTGGGCTCAGCGCCAGGGAGAGTGCTGGATTCCTTAGCAAGAGCAGCATAGGAGAGGTGGCGCTGTCACAAGGAGTTGGAAACAGTGGGCACCGTTCTTTTTTTTTAAGATGGAGTCTCACTCTGTCGCCCAGGCTGGAGTGCAGTGGCACAATCTCAGCTCACTGCAACCTCTGCCTCCCAGGTTCAAGCAATTCTCCTGCCTCAGCCTCCCGAGTAGCTGGGACTACAGGTGCCTGCCACCACACCCAGCTAATTTTTGTATTTTTAGTAGAGACAGAGTTTCACCATCTTGGCCAGGCTGATGTTGAACTCCTGACCTTGTGATCCACCCGCCTCAGCCTCCCGAAGTGCTGGGATTACAGGCGTGAGCCACCGTCCCCACAGCTGTTTAGTGAAGTTACTTTATGAAGGGATGAAGAAATGAGGTGTTAGCTGGAGGAGGAAGCTGAACCAAAGGAGGTTTTGTTTAGATTTGTCTTTTTAAAAGTGGCAGAGACTTGAACAAGTTTTGAATGAGGATGGGAAGGAGCCTGCAGAGGGTGAAGTCTGTGATTTGGGAGAGAGGGGCTGATTGACGGGTGAGGTGCCTTGCAGGGAGGGTTGGAATCCAGAGGGACTGGTCTTGGACAGGCCCTGCCTGCTCCTCTCCTGAAACAGAAGGAAACAGAGGCTGGGCCCAGGTGGGGCGGTTCTTCAGGTCTGCCAGCTGACTTTTAGGGGTTTCTTATCTGATATCTTCTATTTTCTTTGGGAAGTAGAGCAAGTGTGATCTGCTGGGAGTGAGGAGGAGAGAGGTAGAGGGGGAAGTTGAAAGAAAAGTTTTTGAGAAGCAGATTGTGGCTGATGCCATGGGGCTTTCCAGAAGGCATTTCTGCTGATCTTTGTTGAAACGTCACCTTAGAGAGGTCTTCCTGGCCCACCCCAAGCACAGTATCAGCCCTACCCTTTACTCTGCTTTTTTTCTTCCTGGAGTTATCACTACCTGAAATTGTGTTCTTGGTGTATTTGATTCTTGTTTATTTTCTTTCTCCCTACTTGGAATGTATGCTGGTGGGGCAGGGCTTTGTCTTGCTCACCATCATAACCCTAGAAACTAGCACTGTCTGTGGCACAGTATGGCTGCTTAATGCCCACGTGTTGGAAGAGTGGATGAATCTCTGGGGGACCCAACTCTGGGCAGCAAAGCCACCCACACAGATTGAGGACAGATGACTGCATCCCCTTGGACCCTTAGACATTTCTTGGGTCCCTGCCCTCCTGTCTTTCTAGCTGTTTGGATGTTTTCCTGCATTCCTCCTCTCTCCTGTTTGGGTGCTCCTGAGTCTGGAGTTCACCTTTGGATGCTGAAGACAGGAGAGATGTTGGAGGCAGGGCACAGGCTCTGGAATCTAAAGACTGGGGCACGATGCTAGTTGTGTGACTTTGAACAAAGTCCATCATCACTTCCCAGTCAAGGCATGGTAGCTGGAGAGTGCTGGTGACCACACTGATTTCACCCAAAGTCCCTTTGCTCCTTCTTTGAGTTAGGGATACTTTCAGAATGTTATTTGTTCACATGTACATGTGTAATGGTTTATTTGTCTTTGAAAGGGAGGATGGAGGATGAAGTCATGTTTGTCACCAGCATGGGGGAAGTCACTTCTCTGCTCCCTGGGGCATTTAGCCTTCCATCCCCTTTCCAGGCTCTCCATGGCTCTGCTCAACCTCACAGCTAAATCCCCAATGAGTCTGTGTAAATTGAGTCCATTTTTCCTGCTGATTTTTATGGTTATTTCAGAGATGCTACCTCTTCTCCTTTTTGGTTGTTTTTTTTCTTGGCTTCTAGCTTTTTAACTTTATTTGAAAGCTTGGCAATGGCTTGGACTCATGCACACATGGAGCCCTGATAACCTTGGGGTGTGTGGAGAGGGCCCATGGTGGGGAGACAACTGAGACCAGGGCACCAAAGGGCACCTATGGGTGTCCATCCTGGAGGAGAGCAGACCTAGGGGGTTCCAGCCCCCAGCTCCCAATCCCTGCAGGACTTTCCTGGGCAGTGGGAGCCTGTATGGTCCCAGAGGGAGACGTATGGGAAAGGCTGTGGGCAGGTGGCTTTCACTTTAGTGACTAAGAAGCCTTGTGAAGAATTAAGACTGTTCAAAGATGGTTGGGGTGTTTTGAAAAGAAGTTTCCTGTCACTAAAGATGTGTGAGCATGTGGGCAGGGATTCTCACTGGGTGAAGGTGTTGGGCTAACAGCCTGCATGCTGGGAATCTGAGATCGACGTGATCTACTTTGAGGGAACTACAACATGCTGCAGAAAAGGAAACCCCTTCTTTCTCCTCCCGTCACCTTTTGTTTTTTGAAACTCTTATCCCCATCTTGTGAGCAGACTTATCTTTGTTCTCAAGCAGCTGCCTGGGGCACTGTGGTTGCAGCACACTGGTCAAGGGTAGCTTGTTTCTTGGACACTGGCCCACTGAGCTTCGGGTCCACTGGCTGATGGCTTGAGCTGGCTTACTAGCCGGAAGGGCTGCAGAAAGAGCCTCAGCCAGGATCCCTGGTCTGCCTTAATTCACGGGGGACAGTTCCCTTTGGTCTTTGGGCCGCACGTTTCCACCTATAAAGAGAGGTCAGGGCCGCACGTTTCCATCGATAAAGAGAGGTCAGGGTTCGACTAGGCAACGTTGAAATCCCTTTCTGATCTGATTCTTGGAGCAAAGCTTCCTTTAGGCTCTTGGGAAGCAGAGAGGAGAGTGGTGATGTATGCTTGCTCTTCTCAGCACCCCCCTGTGGTTTATTTCTGGTGAGGTCAACAAGGAGTGCCAAGGTGAGGGTGGGAGGTGGGGCTAAGGAGCTGGGATCAGTGAATTATTATCTTCATGCCTTGCTCTCTCCCTGCTTCCTTCCAGAGTAAAAACAAGCTGTCCCAGACCTCCCAGCCCTGTAAGTATCCCAGCTCGGGGCATTCTGAGGGTGTGAGGCACGCAGTTGTGTAATCCAGAGGAACTGTCCAGGCAGTCACTTGTACCCCAGAGAGAGGATGCCCCAGCCCTCTTGAGGGGCTGTAGCTGCAATACTGGGGCCAGGTGCTGGGAGCTGTCCTCCCTCTTACCAGGCTCCCAGGGCAATCAAGGCAGGTGCCTGGCAGGTGCTCCTAGTTCTCTAGCTTTATTTAAAAGCTTGGCCATGGCTTAGGCTCATGTACACTTTTTTTTTTTAGCTTTATGTATTTCTTAAATAAATCTAAAGAGCCAGGAGGAAGCTAGGCATAGGGAGGCAGTGGCAAGCTGGCTATGACCTTGATCAGGGCACAGGCTGTGAATGTGGTCAGTATGAGGCTAGGGTCTCCTGTCCCTCGTGGGATTGCTGCAGAGGTGCACAAGCATGGCTGATAAGGAGGAGGGTAGGGCTCAGGTGAACCAGGTTAGTCAGACTCCTTCCAATCCTGAGATCCTATGAGTCTGGCTTTTTTTTGTGACTTAAGCCTTTTCTCATAGCACACATAATGTCTCTTGCATAGTCTCTTCTTCTCCCCTGCCCTCCCAGGGACCTGGTGCCTGGCTGGTGACAGTGGTTCCTGAGTGGCCTTGGCCTTCTGTCATCATTTCAGATCCAGCAGACAGGGAGCCTGGACAAAGTGGTGTCCTGGGCTCACCAGTTCCCCTATGCCCACCAACTCTGGTTCGGACAGTTCATTGGCTTCCTGAACATCTATGAGCCCGACTATGCCAAAGCTGTGTACAGCCGTGGGGGTGAAGAGAGAGGATGGGGCTCTCAGGAGAGGGTGGGGCTTCCTGGGAACAAAAGACTCAGGGCATGAGGTAGGGAGGAGGCCTGGGCCTGTGTACTAAGTCTGGGCAGCTGAGGCTCCCACCCTACTCATGAATGAGCCTCCTCTGGGAACCCTGGGTTCCTGCTCGATCTGATTGTTTCCTCCTGCAGACCCTAAGACCCCCGATGTGTATGACTTTTTCATCCAGTGGATTGGTGCGTGAACGCCTGCTTTCCCTGCCCCACCCACCTCAGACTCATGGTGCTGGGTGACCAGGATCCTGTCCTGCCCACTTAATTGGTTATCCCAGATGGCCTAGTTCCAGGGTGCCCATCCTAAGCTCAGCTGCTCAGTGAGGAGATGGGAGGAGCAGGAGAGCCCCCAGCTGGCCACGGATGTGGGGCCAAGGCTTGTTCTCCGGCAGGGCCTGCCTTCTCTAGACAGGGCAGAGGCTCTGGAGATGTGTGAATGTGAAGAACAGTTTCCTGAAGGAGGTGGCACTAGAGTTGATTCAAAAGCAGATTTAAATAGGTGGTGCTGGCCAGGGCAAAGGCCTGAGGAACGGTGTGGTGGTAGGACCATGGCTGGTCACCAGAGGCAGTGAGGCTGTCGGGGTGGCTGCAAGGCAGAGCCCAGCTGGGAGATGAGGCTGGGCAGGGAGGACAGGGCAGCCTTGGCTGCCAGGATGAGGAGGTGATTTGATGTTCAGAATAGGTGGGAGTCACTGAGTGTTCTTTTTTATTTTATTTTATTTTTTCCTATACAGAGGTAGTCAAGTTAAAGCCATGGAGTATTCTTTAGCCAAGGCCACCTGCTTCTCCAAAGCTCCTCTTTTACTCATGATCCTATGGCGTCTTCAGTGTCTTCTTGGGAGCTGAGAAAGGGCAGAAGCAAGAGGGAGAACACTTTCCCAAGCCTATTTACTCACCAAGTGCCTTTGGGAAGACTTTTTGCTTGTAACCCTCTTTTCAGTTATCAAAGGGAGGATAAAATTAGAAAGTAATAGAAAAGGATTAGGAAAACAGAGGTGGTTTTGAAGACAGGAATGCATTTCCATTGGTGGGTATGTTGGGGTGGGGTAGGAAGGGCCTCACCTGAGGCCGTGAAGCACGAACACAGCTGGTTGTTCCCCAAGTCCTGAAGCTGTGGCCACAGTCTCAGCAGCCAAGAGTCAAGGCCCAGCAGGCTCTGCTCCTGCTTGGCTGCCCCCAGGGGGATGCATGTCCTTTGTCTCACATCTGGCAGTGTTATCTGACACAAGTTCCTGGACCCAGGCTTTGTGGGTGCAGCTGAGAGGCAGAAACTGAGTCATCCTGTCCTAAGGAATGAGCTCACTCAGCCAAGAACTGCTGCTGCCTGTGTCCTGAGGTCCTGGTAGCCTAGGTTGAGGGCACGGAGGGCAATACTGGGTCGCTTAGTGGCCCACCCTTGGAGGATTCCAGGCTTGGGGATGGAGTCCAGTGGGATGTGCTTAGTCCCACATCCCTGCCAGGGCTGGGACATTATCTCCTGGTCTGACCAGCCTTCCCTTTCCCATCCCTTCTGCAGGGAAAGGACTGCTGGTTCTTGATGGGCCCAAGTGGTTCCAGCACTGTAAGCTGCTCACACCTGGCTTCCACTATGATGTGCTGAAGCCCTATGTGGCCTTGTTCGCTGAGTCCACATGTAACATGCTGGTGAGCTCCCTGTGTCAGAGTACTAGAGGCTGTTGGCTGCTGGGCTGGCCTCTCTCCACCCTGGTTTTGTTCTGGGGAGAGCAGGTGGTGCTCTGAAGTGAGGAGAAGAGCTGAGCCCCAAGGCCTGTTCTGCCTGCAACAGCAGTGCCAAAGCCCTGCTCTGCTGACATGTGCCACATGCTGCCGCTGAGTAGGTGCAGAATCTCTGAGTGTCCTGGCAGCCCGGTCCTTGTCTCTACCTGGCCCTCCTTCCTCCCAGGCCAAAGGGTCTCTGTGAGGCCTTAATAAGGCCCCTAGAGTAGCAGATTTGAGAACCATCTATATTTGAGAGTAGTGGGAAAGGCTTTCACACCTAAAAAGTGTCTCCTCCACATTCTCTGTCTACCACAACTGCCCAAAATTATGTCAATACAACTCATCTCTAAGAGGAATATCAGAGGTCAGGCTGAGAGTCTCAGGGCTGGATAATCCCCAGGTTATCCAGGCTAGTCTTTTCCCTTGCAGGAAACTCCTCTCCAGGATCACACACACACACACACACACACACACACACAGACACACACACACACACAGTGCTGGGGAGCTCACCACCTCTCAGCTGTCCTATTCCCTTAGAGGCTGCCCTGACTGGGAGAAAATATCTGTGTGCTGTGCAAGATCTGCCTCCTGGCCCTGCCCTCTAAGCCTGAAGCCCAGAGGCTGCCAAAATTCTACCCACCCTATGCTGATATTCCAGCACGATGGAGGGCATGACAGGGACTGGGGGTGTGTAAAGGAGGCCTTGGTGGTAAAGGATAGGCTATGGGTGTTGGACAACAGTGTGGGGCAGTCAGCCCAACTGGCCCCCACATTGCCTCCTACACATTACCTCCTATCCCTGGGCTCCAGGACAAGTGGGAATAAAAGGCTCGGAAGGATAAGTCCTTTGACATCTTCAGTGATGTAGGCCACATGGCACTGGACTCACTCATGATATGTACCTTTGGAAGAGGAGATCACCAGCCTGGGCCACGGGTCAGGGGCCACCTTGGGGCTGACCACACTGTCTCCCAAAGCCAGCTTAGAGGGGAGAGTTGGCAGGCTCCTCAGCCCTGATCTGAGAAAAGTTAGGGTCCTGTCCCAGGGAGTCTTATCTTGGGGGGAGCCAGGACTTTCTCATGGTAGGGAGACACATCTGGCTTTTATGAGGAAGCTTAAGGGCAGGGAGAAGAAGGGCAGGATGCTCTGTGGTTGGGGCTGGATTTCTGGAATGGAGCTGCTCTGACGCTACTCCTGGGCCAGTGTCTAAGCCAGTCCTTCCTCCTACCCTCTGCTGTGCAGGGACAGCAGCTACTGCCTTGCAGTCAGCGATCTTACTCGGCTGATGCAGCAGCGCCTTGAGACCTTCCAGTATCATGGTGACTTCATCTACTGGCTCACTCCACATGGCTGCCGCTTCCTGCGGGCCTGCCAGGTGGCCCATGACCATACAGGCGGGCCTTTCCCATACCTTTTCCTTCACTTCTAGGAAGCCTGGATTCCTCCTCCTGGTCCCTCTATGCTCCCGCCCATTATAGGACCCCAGTTCCCCTTCGGACAGAAGATGGCTTCCCAGGCAGTGACACTCTATGCTTCTGGTTCAGAGCAGGTCATCAGAGAGCGGAAGGCAGCCCTGCAGGATAAGAAGGTATGGGAGAAGATCCAGAAACAGAGGCACCGGGACTTCCTGGATTTTCTCCTAGATGCCCAGGTGAGTATATCATTGTCCACCCCCACCTGAGGACTGGTCCCAGAGGGGTCTTCAGACCATCCTCCTAGGACACAGAAGAAGCTCTTAAGCATTTCCCCCTCTTTCTTTAGCAAATATAACCTGTTCCTTGTTTCACAAAACATATTAGCAATGAGATGAAGGTGGTCACAGCCATGTGCTTGCTCCGCTTTGAGTTCTCTCTGGATCCCTCACGGTTGCCCATCAAGATGGCCCAGCTTATCCTGCGCTCCAAGAATGATGGCATCCACCTCCACCTGAAACCACTGAGCCCTGGGTCTGGGAAGTAGCTCTGATGAGAATGGGGCCCAGACGGCTCAGGCTGTGACCTCTGCCTGGGCACCACCCTCCCTAGGCTGGATGTAGAGGAGTTGGGGCACCCTGCCTTCAGGAGTCTTGTAGTTTAGAAGGGGGGTAGGCATTAGTACAGACAACTCCTAGAGGACAGTGCTACATAAAAATGTGCGTCTATAAATGTTTATTATGCATGTATTCCACAGCTCACTTATTTATTCAACAAACATTTGGTGAGCACCTATTTGCTTCAAGAAGCTTCATTTATCTCCTATAATTGGCAAACTTAAAAATGTAGCAGAAACTTACATTCCAACCTTAAAGACTCATAGTGAGCACAAGGAAAGTTTTGCCCTGAGATTCATGGTTATGACCTGGCACCACTGAACAGAAGACTGGCTTAGGGGATTGCCCCTTCACTGAGATGTGTTTCTTTGTTTAACCTTGTGTGTGTTTTTAGAATATAATAGACATAAGGAAAAATAGTGTAAACCAAGACCTAAAAATAATGAATTCTGAAGCAAATTCTCTTGCAACCACCACCGAAGTCAAGAAATATGGAATCTGGTGTCACTGATGTGTCTTCTGCTCCTCCTGAGATGGGTCTCTATGGCACTCCTGCCATTGTCAGTGATTCTGTCTCACAGTCATGTGGTGCTCCAGGCATTCAGGGTTCAGCTGGGGAAGGTGGCTGAGTTGCATTAGAGGGGGCTTCCTGGAGGAAAGGATCTCCCCTCCCCCACTTGAATCAGCTTAAATTGGGCCTTGAGGAGGCCTGGGAAGCTGGATGGGAAGGGGCCATTAACCCACTTCTGTATGAACGAAGGAACCTATAAGACGCTCATCTGGGAGGAGCTTGAGCTGAGGCCTCTGATTCTGTCCTCTTTGACCCATCCTCCATTAATGGTACCAACATTCTCTGATAGTGTGTGTCAGTGTGAAAAGGAGCTAAGAGCTCTGGTGTGAGAAGGCATAGACAGGCTCCCTGTGGGAGGGGAGATAGGAGGCTGGGGACTGGTGGGCACTAAAGATGGATTCTTTTTAATTCTTCTGATTCTCTAAACACACTCTGCTGCCTCCTGTGATCCTGGGCATGTGTGTACATGTGTGTGGGTAGAGTGTGGAGTGTGCAGTGGGCACATACAGGTGTGGCTGTGCCTGAGTGTCTCTATATGGTGTCATGGAATGAGCATGCACACAGATGTGCACTCAGCCTGAGTCTTGCCCAGTGCATGGATCGAGCAGGGTCACTTTTTGGTCACTTCATGCCCTGTGGGATCCAGTGATTAGAGCACCTCTCCATGGATGACCACCCAGAATTCTGAGCTCCCACTGTCCTTTGTTCTCTGAGCATGGCCAGCACGAGTCCTCATGTACCACCTGATGCTGGGGGACCTGCTGAACACACAGTGCAGGGCGCTCCCAACCCTCTCCCTCTCACCCCAGTCAAGCACTATCTAGGCTGCCCCTTTCCTGCCTCTTCTCAGAGCAGAGCTGAAGTAGCCCAGTGGTCTGGGAGGTCAGGGGACTGGGAGGAAGTTCTGGCTACAGCCATCAGTTGAGGCAGAAGCCCTGCCAGAGAAGCAGAACAAAAGTCACATCTCAGTAAGAGGAAGATCTCTCTGTGGCATTCAGGACTCTGGGCTACAGATGGGGGACACCTGTACTCAGACCCAGCAAGAGAAGCAAGGTCTGGATGGAGAGAGGCTGGCACAGCAGGGATACCAGCCCAGTGAAGCTGTGAGAAGTAGGAGGCTGGGTGCTGAAATAGTCCCCAGGCGGTCACCAAGCGTGGACAGGGTTGTGCATGTCCTTGTTCACTCAGGGTGGCCAGCCACAGGCAGGAAACCACCACAAGGCTGTGCTGTGGGGAGGAAGTACCTGGGGTCTGACATCCTGTCCACTGGCCAGACTCATTTGTCTATCCTGGCTCCTCCCAGCCTTTGCTGGATAGCTGCCCACTCTGTGAGCCTCCTGAGGAGCCTGCAGACCTCATGTGTGAGGGCAGCTAACAGGTGCCTCGTGATGTGGCCAGGCTGGGCTCCCTTCTCACGTCTCACTGTGGGTATGAAAGGCTGGGTCCTTGAGGCCCTCATGCCAGACCAGGCCTATAAGGCTTTCCTGCTCAGCTCACGACAGACCTGCTGGTTGGGATGTGGTGTGTCACTGCCCAGACTCTGGTTGGTAGCTTGATCCCCAGTGTGGCAGTGTTGGGAGTCTGGGCCTCATGGGTCACGTTTGGGTCATGGGGGTGGATCTCTCATGAATAGATTAACATCACCCTGCAGAGGCATATGAGTTTTTGCTCTAGCTGGAAGGGATTGGTTCCTGAGAATGTGGGTTTGGAAGGGAGCATGGCTTCCTCAGTCTTTAGTGCTTCCTCTCTCACCATGTGATCTCTGCACATGCCCACTCCCTTTTTGCTTTCTGCCTTGAGTGGAAGTAGTCTGAGTCTTTTACCAGATTCAGTTGCCAAAACTTGGACTTTCTAGGTACCAGAATCATGAACCAAATACATCTCTTTTCTTGATCAATTACCCAGCCTCAGGTATTCTGTTGTAGTAACACAAAACACACCAACACAAGCCCTCAGTTCAGCCCTGCTGTAACTCATCTAGTGTGATAAATGGAATAGAGGCCTGGAGTCTTTTCCCCACAGGAATGAGCTTCTCCCTGTGAGAGAAGAGCCCTTAATTAAAACAGCTGCTGTTGAAGCCGCAAGAGCTGGCAGTGTGGGCATGAGGGATCACACAGTGTGAAGCTTTGTGCCTGGGGGTGGGCTGAAGTCCTGGCACCAAAGGGCAGGTCTTCCTTCCCCTTTTCCTACTCAGAAAAGACCTGCCTCCTCTGTCTTTCCTACCCCTTTGTTCTCTTCTTTTTCTTCTATCTCCTTCCAAGGGAAACCAGATGCTATATACACTTTGTGAACTTTATTCCAGAGAGGGAATAAAGGGAAAGCAGAGGGGCTGTTTGAATGACAGTCACATAGTCAGTTACCATATAGGAGAAATTTTGATGGACAGATCAGGTAGGGGCTGTGCTAGGCTGAATCATGGCCTACTGTGATGTCCACATCTTATTCCATGGAACCCATGATAATAGACCATCTATTTCAAAATGGACCTTGAAGATGAAAGTAAGTAATGGATCTTAAGGTTGTGATATTGTTCTGGATTATCTGAATGAGCTTGATGTACCACAGGGCCTTTATAAGAGGGAAAGAGATACAAGGGCAGTAAGAGAGAGAGTTTTGTAATGCTCTTTGCTTTCAAGTGAGAGGAGAGGCCAGTAACAAGGAATGCAAAAAGTAAAACCCTGGAGCTGAAAGGCCAAGGGGCAGGGCTCTCCCTGAGACCTTCTGGAGGGGTTTGGCCCTGTCCAGAACTTGTTTTCACCCATTTCTGACTTTGACTTCCAGAACTGTAAGAGAATAAAAAGCTGTTATTTTAAACCCCTGAAGTTGTGATGGTATATTACAGCAGCAATAGGAAACTAACACAGGAACAGACAAGCAGGCAGGAAGGAGACTAGTGCCCTCCAGACAAGCTGGAGGGCAGGCAGGAGATTGGGAGGTGGGCAGAGATTCACGGATGCAGGTGGATAGGAGACAGGTAGACAAGCAGGTAGGGACTCTGGAGAAAGATGAGAGAGAGAGAGAGAGAGAAGGGCAGGCACAGGAGGCAGGACAGCAGGTAGGTGGGTAGACAGAAAGCAGAATATGGGCAGACAGGCAGGAGATAGGAGCAGGGGTGAGGAAGACAGAATGGCAGGTGGAGGCCCTCAGAGCTGGTCCTTGTCCCCATAATGGTTAAAGAGCCTCCTGAGATGCAGGTGGATTCCATTTTTGGATTTCAATACAATTAGTGGCATGGGGATGGGGATCCTGGTGGGATCAGGCAGAAGCTCAAAGCAGAATAGGGTCAGGGCCATGGCCACCTTCAGCTCATTCATGGCAAATTGTTTCCCAATGCAGTTCCTGGGCCAGGCAGAGACAATAATTGAGAAGCAGCCTTGGACTCCATTCTGAGCTGGGCAGGCTTTGGTCTCTGAGCTCCTTTCCTGAGCTGGGCATTCAGGGGCCAACTCATATGTCCATCCCCCACCTTTCTTCCTTTCAGCCCACACGTCTCTACCAAGCCTCGGCGCTCTGCTTTCCATGACATTGTACAGAGCCTGCCTATTTTCCAGGGCTGGCTCCTAACTCCTACCTCTGCTCTCAGCAGGCCTGAAATCCTCTGGCAGGTCAAGGCCAGGCTCTAAGGCACAGAGTCTAATCACATGGCTGGATGGTTTGTTCACTGCTCCACAAACATTTCTGGTTGCCCAGTGTGGAGGCCAATCGGGTCCTGTAGGGTGAGGATGGGTCACATGCTCAGGTGTTCTTTATGTAGGGGAACACACAGGGACCTGGATCCTCAGAGATGGGCTGAGATGGGTGGGAGAGGGGAGACAGAAGGGCAGTGGGAGCCTTCCTGGAGGGGCACTGGGTGGGCGGTCCTCAGTTATTACCCCATCTGCCTCCCACTCTAGGGAGGCAGGCTCCCACTCTAGGGTTCAGGCTCCTGCCTCCCTTCACTCCTCCATCCACCAGAGCCTGTAGTCTAATTCTATTCCAGAAATGCTTTTCTTCACCATCCTTCAGTCTTCTCACCTGGACTTTCTGGATTCCTACTTCCCCTCCCTCCACACTGAAGCCACAGCCCAGCTCAGACCCTCCCACACCCTTCATCACAGCGGGGACAGCGTCCCACTGCCTCAGCTGGCAGCCAAGCCTTCCATGGGCTGTTGCCTTACCCACCTTCTAGCCCCCGTCCTAGCCGTGATCATGTGGAGATGGCCGAGAACATCCTCACCCAACCTCTGCATGCCACATCCTCAAGGCTAAGGCCACGTCCCAGCTGCCTGTCACCCTCTGCCAGCTGTGCCTCTCCCTCCCCAGGCCCCTGAGCAGCATTCGTGCTCCATCCACGGACAGTCACAGTCCAGTGCCTCGGACAGTGCAAGGAGCCAGGACGCTCAGTGAGCAAATGAGTGAGTGAAAGGATGGATGAGGGACGTGTATCTGGAGCACAGGATGTGTTTCTGTAAAACAAATCTTTGGCCTTGACTGTGAACTCTTAGAGGCAGGGACAGGGCCTGTTATCTGTTTCCCCATCACCTGGCACTCAGAAACAGGCTTAATTCAATGGAAAAAAATT